TCTCACCCTAAGCTGAGTTAGTGTGAGCTAGCTCAGTTTTTTAACCTCCAGCTCACACATTTTTGTCTTAGCTCAGGAAGGATGGCTCCAGAGCAAACTAATTTATGCAGTAACCAAATCGTTCCCTCCCAACTTTAGTGCCAGTAGCTCACAAAGCAGAATTTTTGCTCACGAGACTACACAGCTTGTGACTGAATTCTTCCTAATGGCAAGAAAACTGCCCACCTGTAGAAAGCTGGCCTGTCAGTGGAAGGGTTCTCTTTAACGTTCTCTCTGACGTGCTAGCTGTTTGGATGTGAGGAATCATTTGCCAGTCCCAAGAGACTATGGAATAAACATCTCGCAAAGCAGGAAAGCACGCGACAGGAGATGAATTTTGGAATGCATGCTGGCCACCGTGATGCTCGGGCTGCAGAGAGAACTATAGGCCATGGTGCGTTTCCTGCGGTATCCTCTTAGCTCAGGAAGGATGGCTCCAGAGCAAACTAATTTATGCAGTAGCCAAATCGTTCCCTCCCAACTTTAGTGCCAGTAGCTCACAAAGCAGAATTTTTGCTCACAAGACTACACAGCTTGTGACTGAGTTTTTCCTAATGGCAAAAAAACTGCCCACCTGTAGAAAGCCGGCCTGTCAGTGGAAGGGTTCTCTTTAGCGTTCTCTCTGACGTGCTAGCTGTTTGGATGTGAGGAATCATTTGCCAGTCCCAAGAGACTATGGAATAAACATCTCGCAAAGCAGGAAAGCACGCGACAGGAGATGAATTTTGGAATGCATGCTGGCCACCGTGATGCTCGGGCTGCAGAGAGAACTATAGGCCATGGTGCGTTTCCTGCGGTATCCTTGGAGACGCGATGGGGGTCTGGAAGAGCTTGGGCACTTCTCCCTGGCACTGATCAGTCCCATCCTGCCTTCAAGGGAGAAGGGGCTGTGGGGAGCACTTGACCTGTCCCAGGAAGGGTGTGGCAAGCTCTCAGTCCTGCGTGCCCTCCAGGCTAGGGTTGCCAGCTTCCAGGTGGGATCTGGAGATCTCCAGACTCCCAAGATCCGTTCCCCGGGAGAAATGGCTGCTGTGGAGGGTGGACTCCATGGCATCATACCCCACTGAGATCCCTCTTCTCCGCAAACCCCACCCTCTCTAGGTTCCACCCCCAAATCTCCCGGAATGTCAC